CCAAGTTGCTCTAAATCAAGCTGAGGTTTTCTTCCAGAACCTTATATTTCCCTGAGGAAACCCCCTGCTATGATTTGAATATGGTTCATTCCCACCCAAACTTATGTTGGGGCTCAGTCCCTAACATGACAGTGTTGAGAAGAGGTAGGTTTTTAAAGAGATAGTTAGGTCATGGGGATACCACCCTAATGAATGGATTAATGCATTTCTGGAGAGACTGGGTTACTTCTCTTGAGACTAGTTTCATTCTCACAAGAATAGATTGTTACAAACAAGCCAGCCACAGTCCCTTGATCTCTCTTGTACACATGCTCTTTGCCTGCCTTTGCTTCCCCATCTACTTTCTGCCACAAGTTGAAGCAGCATGAAGCCCTCATCAGAAGCTAAGTATATGCTGGCATCATGCGCTTAGACTTCCAGAACCTCGAGCCACAATAAACCTCTTGTTTTTATGAATTACCCAGTCTCAAGGATTCTGTTATAGCAATAGTAAACAGACTGAGATATCACATAAAGTGTACCCAGTCATCAGGGCATATTTCTCTGGTTATTTTCATCAGAGCACATCTTGGGGGCTGGAGGTCTGAAGGCAAACTGGCTCAGGTTAGAATTCCTTCCTGGGAGAGCAGTTGAGCCAGCTGATGAACTCTTAGAGCTGGCAGTCTTGTCAAACAAAGGGCAGAGTCAGTTCTGTAATCCTTTAGCAGGAAGCAAAGCTTGCCTTCCTGTCATCCTTACTCCAGAACATTCAGATCTATTTCCTTCCTGGTGGTATAATGGTACCAAAAAAATCAAATTTAGATACTTTGTCCTTTGAAGGATGATGTTGGTGTCTCCATCCAAGCCAACAACTCCATATGCAGGCAGATGTGCACACGCACACACTTAGGTCTGTGTGCCCTGCGTACATGAAGACCATGAAAGGCATTCAACTCTCTCAGAAATCAGGAAATGTTAGCTCATTACTTTTGTTAATGACATTTTCATTTTGACTCTTTTTAAATGAATTTCCACAGTCTGAACATTGAGGGATTAGTCTAGGCCCCCTGTGGTTACCACCTAGCTGTTGTCACAGCCCCTCTGGGCCTCGATTTTCTCAGCTGTAAGGAGACTCCTCTGATGACTTGTGGCTCTAACATCCATTGCTTTTTTTATTATTATTTTTTTTAGTTGTAAGTGGATACAATACCTTTATTTTATTTTTATGTGGTGCTTAGGATAGATCCCAGAGCCTCGTGTGTGCTAGGCGAGCACTCTACTGCTGAGCCACAACGCCAGCCCTATTGCTTTTTTTTTAAGCACTGAGAATTGAGCCAGCCAAAGATACCTGAGCTTGGGGCTGGGCATTTTATTTTCACCCTGGAGGGAGGGATACAAAAATAAATAGAACACGTGCCTCTAAAAATTCAGGACTTTGAATCCTCAGGTATTAATTAATATCCTGTGGCTGTCAAACTCCATTGGGGCACCTTGGCCTACTGCGCAACCTGGAGACCTCCCAGTCCTGTTCTTTTATTCAGCCACAATTGGACATTTTGAGAAAAATCAACCCAGCAATCTCCTCATGTCTTTTTCTTTGAGAATCATGAACTCCTGTGATATATTTTTTTACCATCACATTTTTTTTAGAAATTTACCCAGTCTCCCTTCTCAGTTCTTACTGCCCTGTCTTCTGGCTGGATTTTTTTTTTTTAAAGTAGGCCCATGTGCAATGCACTATGACTCTTTTGGGGGCTGTTCTAGAACTACATGGGCCCCTGGCTCTGAATTTTGTTTAGAGTTGCCTTAAAAGATGTCTTATTTGAGCCGGGTACTGTGGTACTCTCTTGTAATCCCAGTGGCTAGGGAGGCTGAGGCAGGAGGATTGCGAGTTCAAAGCCAGCCTCAGCAATTTAGCAAGACTCTAAGTAACTCAGCGAGACGCTGTCTCTAAATAAAATACAAAAAAGGACTGGGGATGTGGCTCAGTGGTTAAAAAAAAAAAGTATTATTTAGAAATGGAGCATCTTTTCTCATCTAAAGAAACATAAAGACTGTTGAGATTGGTGGAACCAGAGAAAGTGAAGTCATTCAAGGGAAGAAAAGAAAAAAAGAAAATTCCCCTCTGCTAATAAGTTAGCAAAGAAGCACCTGACCAGTGCTGATCCAGTATGGTAGATGCAAGACAGCTCACAAACTTTCCTTTTCTTTCAAAAGGAAACCACCTTCATGATGGCCACTGCTCCAGACACAAACACACACCTCTGCCTCCTCCCTTTCCACATCCATACTGGGACCACACTTTTCATACATTGCCTGTTAATGCAACATTTTCTGTCTTCCCTCCCCACCTCCCTTCTTCCTTCTCTCCCTCTCCCCACCCCCTGCTCTGCTCTGTCACATTTTATGTATCTGCTACATGCCAAACTAGCACAACATTAAGGGATGTATTTTTCTTTGCCCAGTAATCTTGGAAAATACTATGACTTGTAATTGTCTTTTTTTTTTTTTTTTTTAATTTGGGGCCATGTGGTTTGAGGCAAGGTTGCTGGGGTAATGTCCTCCACTAGAAGAAACTCATGTGAAATTGGTTATAGAAAGTTTCAGACCAACAAGGAGTGACCAAGACGTCCAGGGGTAGGCGTTGTTGGGATTTAACTGGAAAGAATTAGGCCACAGGGTGTTGGCAGTTTCATGAATAAGAAATTACTCTGATTCTGAGGTACAGGAAGGTTAATTGGCAGAGTTTCAGTGATGACTTCATTTAGTAAACATACATCTGTCCCCAGTATAATTTACATAAAGACAGAGAAGGGAGGAAGGAAAAGGAAGGAGTTGGTGGAGAGCTGGAAGGGACTGACACAGGGGATAGAGGAGTGGTAAACCCTGAGTAAGAAACCCATTCCCAAATCCCAAATCCATACACTCAGGAGAGGGCCTGTATGCAAGGGAAGATGGCCCTTAGAGCAGCTTGCCTTCTTTTTTTTTTTTTTGATACTGGGATTGAACCCAGAGATACTTTACCACTGAACTACATAGGAAGCCCTTTTTATTTTGAGACAGGGTCTCACTAAATTGCTTAGGGACTGGGTAAGTTGCCAAGGCTGCCTCAAACTTGCAATCTTCCTGCCTCAGCCTCCCAAGTTGCCGAGATTACAGGCATATGCCACTGCACCCAGCAGCAGCCTGCTTTTTTATGATAAAAGTTTGTCAGTACTCATATAGACAATACAGAAAAACATTAAGAAAGAAACACATGTATATACTCATAATTTTACTAGTCAGAGGTCACCACTTTAAATTTATTACTTTCTAGTCTTTTTCTGTAAAGGTTGTAGCATGGTAAGCTCATACTGTAGCTGCAATTTGATACCCATTTTGTCTGGCAGGATGGATCTTTCATGCTGGTTAAGAACATGTTGCGGGTCAGACAGCCTTGGGCCTGACTCCCATCTCCTGCCTCACTTGATAGCCTAGTGACCTTGGGAAATGCTTTTATATCTCTAAGCCTCAATTATTTCAATGGCAGAATGGGCATACTAATATCACCACCTCATAGAGTTTTTGTAAGGATTAAATAAGTCAGAGAATACTCCTTCTGTTTGTGAAATCACTTCCTCCTAAGAAAAAGAATATTAATTCAGCATTTATAGATGAGAGAGAACAGTTTGGTAAGGTTGCTTGCCTAGTGTCCACAGCTAAGGATGGCAAGAGATTCGTAGTGACAGATATTAGAATCCCCACCTCTTGCCGACCATGCTATACTGTTTAACTCAGAGGAAAATGGCTGGCTCACCCAGCTACTGAAAAGCAGTGCTGAAAATTTACTGAATCCAGAACCTATATGCTATGAGAGCCCTCCAAAAATTCCTTGTAGGTCTGCTATTGTCTGAGTTTTACTTAAAACCATTTCTTCCTTTGGCCCTGTACTACATTTAGTACTGGTGAGTCAGAGCCAGGACTGGGCATGTGTGTTTGCTGGTCCCTGTGGTAATGACACAGTAATATGTTTTCAGAGACCAGAAGAGTCTCTGGAGCTTTCCTAGAATCACAAATATATGATGCCCAGAGAAAGTGAGGAGAGGAGGTATCAACAGCAATATGGATCATGTGTTCCAACGCTCCCCATTCCTATCCATCCTTAATGATTTTAACATTGAGATGGTTTTACCTTGCCCTTGGCCCTCACCCTTTTGCCCTTGGCATAACTAAGATGATACCCTTGCCGGATTCCCCAACTACTTATTAATTCACCAAGTTGAGCCCATCTATCTCCCTTCTATAGTCAATCCTGTATGACAAGGAAATACTTGGCTATCTGGAACCAGATCAGGAATAAATGCCATTGATTACAGTTGATTATATTGTTGCCTCCATCACCTACAGAGTGACAGTGTGTGAGAGATAAATAAATAGTAGCCAAATTGCAAAACAAAACAAAAAAACCTCTATTCCAGTTTATCACATGTGACATGGTACATCTGATCCATGAGGGACCTCAAAAATGGTCTGCCAGCCTCAGCATAGAAAGGGGTAGAAGAAGGTATAGAACCTGAACTGGCTGCAGCAGACCCTCAGCCAACATTTTGTTGAAATCTCTCACCGGCAGCAGATCTGATTTTTTTGTCTTCATAGTGACTCTCTTCAAATCACTTGGTTATTCAGCAGATTAAATCTTAATTGCAAATGTGGTTTCAGCGTAGGAGTACCATTGTGCATGCTGGTTTCAGGCCATTTTTGCTGAGCTGTGCTTTTCCAGAAGGCTGTTACAAATTTAGAAAGGGGGAAATAGTGTTTCATTTGTTGATCAGAATTTTATTATGCCAAATGAATTTATTCTAGTATTTGTTTAGAGGTGCCAAAAGCTGACATCCCTGGAGAGAGAATTGCTCATTTTTTTTGGTTTTGGAGAGATTCTCCAAATTGTCCACGCTGTGCATAGAAAATATTGTCTGTGGTCCTTCTGTGAGAGGACAATTTGCCAACAGTCTTATCTGGTCTAATTTTGATTATTTTTTCAGAGGCCCAAGAAACCACCACCTCCATCTGCTCCTGTCATCAAACAAGGTGCAGGTAATAAATATACCTTTCAATTCAATAAAATAAAGTTGCACATCTTTCTTTTGCATATATTCAAATTGTCCATGGTAGAGCTCAAGATTCCTAGATTCAAATGCCACAGATTGCCACATTGGGAAATTATGATTTGGTCTCAGCAGGCAGGTTTCAAATATACTGCTGCTTTTCCTAAACAAACAAACTAAAATCACTAAAACATGTCCCTGATACTGTGCAAAAACGGGAACTCCCCAAGAGAATGGTCAAAAGAACTTTAAAATAAATGAGTTTTGTGTTTTGCAAAACTCCTTTTGAAGAGAGAACCTAATATTGTCCTGCTTCCCCTGTGCCTAATGGAGAGAGTCAGCCTAGGGAAGATTGTTTCCCATGGGCCATAGTGTCATTGCACACATATGGCCTTGCTGGATTTTCAGTGTCTGTCCTCTGTGGTTAACCAAAATTTGTACTTCCCTCACTTATCCATCCCCCAACAAAAAGATGGTTGTTTTTAGCCATGAATACTTTTCGTTCCCCGTTCTTTTTTAAACTTGAAGAGTCTAATTCACTTTTTCTGTATAATGCAGACATTAAGATTGAATAATATAGCAAGAATTGATATTATTAGACTTTTGATAACTCATTGCACATGAGATTTTCATACATAAAGAGGATGGTTCATATTTCCCAACAGAACTCCTCTTTATAATTGTTACAGTAAATTATGGGGAGAAATTCCTCCATGAGTAACTAGCTAGGTAAGTGGCATTTTAAAAAGTAACAACTAAAACAGAATAGTAGGGGTATTTTTAGTTCTATAAACTCACAGTTATGATATTTCTATAGCATTTAAAGTATGAGTAAATTTCCAGGTTGTTTATACATTTATTAAGAATTTTTTAAAATGATTTTTGACCCACCAAGTTGGGGAGAAAAAATTAACTTGACCCCAGATTCCTTTGTCGTTCCCTCAGGCATAATTGAGAATTACAGAGATTAAGCCCTGAAATGAGATGTTAATTACATCTCCTGCTTGGCCTTCATCTGTGCTGGCATTGAACAGTTCCATTTTGCCACCTAGTGGTTCTGGCTATATAAATATTTTATTGTGTTGAGATTAAAACAGGCTATTTATGTGTTTTTCTCTGAGAACCCTTTCTCCTGGAGGCCTTGGTAACCATTGGAGACTAAGGAGATAGATCAAGTGGTCCACGGCTAAGGCAGCCTAGAATGTAGTTAACTAAGATTGGATTCTTCAAGATGGTCCAATTGTTGATTTTTTCTGTATCTCTAAGAATGGCAGTGAACTTCTTCATTAGCATTAGGAGACTACATTGGTAGCATGGTAGGCAAATTCTTATCCTTTTGAAACAATTTCACCAATATTTGTGAAGGGACTCTGGGGGGGGGGCAAAGCAAAATAGCATTTCATCTTCCTAGTCTACTTCTGCTAATTTATGAAGGATCTTGGGAACTGATTTGAGGTTAGGAGGTAGAGAGTTATTAAAGAGATTCAGATGAAGTATGTGTTCAGTGGATTCTTCCTTTTAGGTCCTGGGATTTCTACCATTGTACTACACTCCTAGAACCTTTTACTATTATTTTTTTAATTTTAAGACAGGATTCTCTCTAAGTTGCCTGGGCTGGCCTTGAACTTGTGATCCTCCTTCCTCAGCCTCCTGAGTAACTGGGATTATAAGCATGTGCCATAGCAACCAGTTGTGAATATTTTTTTAGGGTTCTCTTGGCCTCAGAGGCTGTGTAATTGAGATTTTAATACCAAGCACCCATTTTAGAGCTGGTCATGTGAAAAGGCTGTCAGGCACTCAACCATGTCTATAAATAAGAGAAATATTTTTGATTGGTTTGTGCTCTAGTTATTTCTGAAGTTCTCTTATATGCCTGAGGCTAATGGCACCAGTAAGGCTAATGGCACACACGGTCTTTATTTTACTTTCTGTGGTGCTCAGGTAAGGGAGCAACTGCAGTCTGCATGGATAAAGATGAAATGCAAAGCGATGCATTTAAGAAAATGTAATACTTGAGAGATTCAGCAGAAAGAGAAGGGATGTAGAGAGAAGCAATGTAACATCTCTGCACATCCTTCAACTTAAAATTTTGTTGTAGGTACTACTGCTGTATTACAAGCCACTCCAATTTTAGTGGCCGAAAATAAGAATCTTCTTATGCTCACAGATACTGTGGGTCAAGAATGTGAATGGGGTATGGCCTGCATGACTGGTTTCTGTTCCATCAGGTCTGGGCCTCAGTTGGAAAAGCTGGACTAGCTGAGGCTGGAGGATCCACCTGGAAGTTGGCTACTTCACTCACATATCTGGCTTCCCATGGCAGGGGTACCTGGAAGACTGGGCTCAGCTGAGCTTGTAAGCCATATCTACGTATGGCTTCTGCAGGATAGTTGTCTTCTTACATGGAGACTAGTATTCTAACAAATAAAGTATTAGCTACATGGATTTTTATGAGTTGCTTTGGAAATTACATAGTATCACTTCAACCACTGGCCAAAGCAGTTACAAACCTGTCCACATTCCTGGAAAAGAGATATAGATTTCACCTCTTTTTTTTTTTTTAAAGAAAGAGTGAGAGAGGGGGAGAGAGAGAGAATTTTAATATTTATTTTTTAGTATTTGGCGGACACAACATCTTAGTTTGTATGTGGTGCTGAGGATCGAACCTGGGCCGCACGCATGCTAGGCGAGCGCGCTACCGCTTGAGCCACATCCCCAGCCCCTAGATCTCACCTCTTAATGGGAGGTTTATCAAACAATTCCAAGCCATGTTTTAAAACTACTACAAGATGGAATCCAGTTCCCTGTGAAATCACTTATTATTATAGAGCACAATATCCAGTGACCCCTTATTTTTGAATTTTGATGAGTGACTCTATATGTTCCCCATCCCTACTTAGTGACTATTTTTATGCCTAAGGATGCCAGGTTTAAATATCAGAAAATGTTAGTGGTGTTCTTATGAATAGAGAATGTATAGGCAAGCAAACATAATGAAATGGGCTAGAAATGACTTTTGCTCAGTTTCTAAGCAACTCATGTTAGCCAAGTTATGCCAGCATCCAACTCAAGAGGAAAAAAATCAATTGACTTTCCTATACCTGATAAATACTGAAATGCTGGTGTGTCTTATAAATGAATAGGGAAAATATTTTCTGATAACTCTTGTCCTTTTCCTCCCAGGTACAACAGAGAGAAAACATGAACTTAAAAAGATACCTCCTGAAAGACCAGAAACGCTGCCAAACAGAACAGAAGAAAAAGGTATGGAATTAATTCTTCATTGGCACTTCTAGAACAGCAAGAGACAAGGCTGTCTGTCATAGCACTAGTTTGTATTACCCATAGAATTTGCTTTTTCTTTGAAATATGGTAATTATGAGTTTGTTTTGATTGCTTTTAAGTATCCCATTTCTTTTTTAAAAAATATTTTTTAGTTGCAAATGGACAAAATACCTTTATTTAATTAATTTATTTTTATATGGTGCTGATGATGGAACCCAGTGCCTCACACATGCTAGGCAAGTACTCTACCACTAAGCCATAACCCCAGCCCTAACATCCCATTTCTAAGGAAACAGGAGATGGCTGTATGGCACTCGATAGGGCCAAAATTTTTCATCAAATGAAAACCAATCAGACCAGTCATTTAACATATTGGGATTCTTCTGTAATATTTTTGCCATCACCACCCTGCCCATGCCCTGAAGTCAGTGGACTATCAGAATATATCTGACAGTATCTATTCATCGTCTTCCCTGTGCTTAGTGCCTAGAGTCCTCATTCACCCTTTTTTTTTTAAAAAAAAATATTTTTTTAGTTATAGGTGGACACACTGTCTTTATTTTACTTTATGTGGTGCTGAGATTAAACCCAGAGCCTCACACATGCTAGGTGAGCACTCTGCCTCTGAGCCACAACCCCAGCCTACTTCTGCTCATTTACTCTTGGTGGGTAGACTTGGCTTAGTGAAATTCCCATCCAAACAAATGAAAACTTTCTTCCTTGGTCACTGCTGGGCTCTTGATTCTGGCTTAACAATGTTGCAGACATATGTCCTTGGCCAAGAATATTGGGGGTCAGATGGAGAGTGACACTGGAGTACTGGGGAAAGCAGCTTAGTGCTCACTTTTCTAAAGGTGGTCAGAAATATCATTGGCAGGGAAGTGGCTCAACACATCTTACACAGGTTTACAAATGTGTTTGATTCCCACTATGTCGAGTGTATCTCCCCCAAAAATCTGCATGCTGTGAAAGGACTCCTTTTATTAGGTGCCTAATATTTGATTGATCATACATTTTTATGGGAAAAGTGCTGTTATTATTCTGAACAGGAGGCGAGCAAATTCCATTTTAAAAAGCAGTTATTTTGAAGTCATAAGAGAAATGCTAAATTAATGAATACAATTATTTGGAGGTGCTCCTTGGCAGCCTCATGAAATTTTATTGTGAAATTTAATATTTTATATCAGCCCTCTAAGTTTTACCAACATTGCAAGCTATTAAGGATCTATACCTCTTGCTTTCACAGTGAACTGGTAGAATTTGAGTCATGGAACCTCATTGTGAAAGCCACATCTATATCACACATCACTGAAAAAAAATAGCCATTGAATGTATACTAACAAAATCATGTGTGGTGTGATAGCCAGGCTCCATGATGAGGACATCTTCCTACAGTGGCCCACGCTGACTTACTTATGGGCTAACTTGTGAGCAACCACTTTCCTTGTCTGGCCAAATGGCTGCACACCCCTGGTCCCTTTCCTCTCATGAGTCCTTGTTCTATGCCACAGTGGGTCAAAGAGGCAGAAGTCTCCGTCAAGAGCAATAGGGAAGCCAGGAAAGCAACCCTGTCCCGAAACTAGGTATGCTCATTAGGGCAGCACACACCCTCTCTCCCATTCGTCCTGCTGGCTATTAGAGTTACTGTCCTTATCCTAGTCCTGTTGCCCAACAGGAGTCATACCCCTGCTTAACATGTCAGATGAGCCTTCCTCTGGCACCAGAATGCCAAAAAGTGAGTTCCTAGGATTCCTGGTTGGAGGGTGTTTTCCTAAAGAAACATTGAAGGGGTGAGCAAGATGAGAGCTATACAATATCTGATGAGGTGCCAATCAGCCTGGGCACCCAAACATTGAGTCTAAGTCAACCCAGGGAATCTACCTATGATCTAGTGGGCAACTCTCAAGTTCTGTATTTATCAACAAGAATGTGGATATATGCTTTTTGCACATACATGGGGCAAGGCTAGTTGGGAAAAGAAAACTTGAAGCTATCATTGAACACTGCCCAGTCTGGCCACCAAATCGGGTTTCAACTTCATCCCAATAGCCCTGACTCCAAAGAGCCTTGGAAGCCATATATCTTGAGAAATCCCAGTTTACTGTCCAAGTTCAAACTGTACACAAAGAGAATCTAGAAGAATTGTTCTCCCAAATGTTTCCCCCTTTTACTGTCTCATAGTCCTTTTTAGAAGCAGACCCGAGAGGTGTCAGGCCTGATCTCTCCCCACACCCAGAAGCAGGTCCTGTAGGCCATTTATCAAACCCATCAACCACCTACTGAGTATCAGCTACATGCCAGCAGCACAGGCCTCCTAGGGAGATGAGCAGATGTGGGAGAGGCCCACAGCCTAGGGCTGTGCCAAGCATGCAAACACCCATAAAATGTCCGAGTGGAGCCTGTTTATAAAGGGCTGCCTTTAATGCTTAGGTGAGGAAGGAAGAAGTCTTCTTTGGAGTGTGGGTCCAGCTGTTGAGTTGGGAACATGATGGTGTCACATTTCAGCTAGGTTTTGATGGGTGAATAGGAGCTTGCTGAGGGTGGGCAGTAGCCAAAAGGACACTCCAGGCATTGGGACCAGCACGAACAAAAGCCTGGAGAGAAGGGAACAGGGAGATTACATGGCTTTGTAGGGCTTTTTCTCACTTGACAAGGAATAAGTGATACTCTTTGCTACCAATTCCACCTTCAGAAATGGCATCAGTGATTTTTTTTTAAAGCAGGAAATAAGCAATCTGCATCAAAGTACTGTCACTTACACTAGATCCATCTGTTTTCTTCATTCTTTGTTAAACAATGACTTAAAGAAAGACCAGAGAGAGAGCCAAAACTGGACTTACAGAAGCCCTCCGTTCCTGCCATCCCACCAAAAAAGCCTCGGCCACCTAAGACCAATTCTCTCAACAGACCTAGTGCACTGCCCCCAAGAAGGCCAGAGCGACCAGTGGGCCCACTGACTCATACCAGGTACTGCTTCTCTCTCACCAAGGGGTGGGCATGTAATGGGTACAGGACACAATGAGGTGCTACAGACCTGCAGAGGGAGGGAGAAGAAAAGAGAAAAGGGGATCAAACTTCACTTTTCTACTTTGTAGCAAAATTGCATGAAGATGCTGGCCACTTCTGTCCAGTGCTGAAAAAGTGGGTGCAAGGTTTGGGGCACAGTGTGGGATTTAGGATTAGCAGGTGAGGCTCAGGCACACAGCATCTAGGCCCTTCCTACACACAGGGGTTTCCCTGGCTTTGTTAGAATAAGGCAAGCTGTCCTGCAGACTGGAGACGTGGGTAGCACACCCACCTTCATCCCCTGGGTGTCAAGCTAGCCTCGGGTATGCATAGCTCCCTTACAGCTGTGTCCACTGACCCTGTCACTATTCTGTGGGGCCCCATTCCATACCCCAACCTCCTTCTGCTCTTCACTACATGGCCTGTTGTAGAACCCAGAAGCCGGCATGGCAGAAATCTTCCTAGTATACATGTCTCTGAGCTCTAAGACCCTCAAAGTCTTGGGAAATGCCTTCTTAAGGGACATATTTGAGATGAAAATTCCTTCACTGACTGACTGAATGCATATTTTAGTTATGTGAGATCAGAGTTTGTGTGCATTCCAGAACTGAGGTGCCTACCACAGATCAAGGAATTGTTGAATTCTCTTCATAGGTTTATTGCCAAAACTTTCTACCATTGTATATGTGTATTATACATGTTGGTATAACACACCAGAGCAAGTCAGTGACCCAGAGGTCTTCTTGTGCACTGTCAACACATTGGGGTTTTGTTCTTATAAACTAAATTTGCATGTTGAGAGTTGTATGGGGCTTCTGAGCTCTCACATTTGAGTCAGGCCTCCAGGCTGGAATCTCAGCCTTCCTCATAGGTGAAGTGTGAGTCTCAGCAAGTCATGGTCCCTCTCGCCTCACTTCCCTATCTGTAGATTGAGGATGATAATGGAATGCACCTAAATAATCCCCAAATATGAAGCCTCATGCCTGTAAATCAATAGTATTTTCAATGTCATTTTTATTGTTGCCTATTGAACTGGGATAACCTTCAGTAAGACAAAAAGAGCTTGTTTACTTTAAAAATGGTTTTTTAAAATTGTGTTAAAATGCACATAACATTAAATGTACCATCTTAACCATTTTAAGTGCTCTGTTCAACAGCATTAAGTACTTTCACATTGTTGCATAACCATTTCAAGAACTCTTTTCATCTTGTAAATCCACAATTCTATACCCATTAAACAACAACTCCCCAGTTTCTCTTCCACACAGCCTGGACAAGCACTGTTCTTTTTCCCATCTCTATGAATTTGACTCCTTGTAGGTACCTCATATAAGTGAAATCAGACAGTATTTTTATGTCTTTTTATGACTGGCTTCTTTCACTTTGCATCATAGCTCGTCTGTGTTACAACATGGCTTATTTACTTTTTTTATTAAAAGTTTTTTTTTGTAGTTGTAGATCGACAGCATGCCTTTATTTTATTTATTTGTTTATTTTTATGTGGTGCTGAGGATCAAACCCAGTGCCTCACATGTGCTAGGCAAGTGCTCTACCACTGAGCTACAGCCCCAGCCCTTCCTTTACTTTTAATAACAACAACAACAGAAATGCACCCCTCCCCTGCTGTCCAAATATGGAGGCAGGTCACAATGTGGATGGTTGAAAGATGTCAGAATCAACCAACAGTGGTGGTTGCACACATGCCTATGTGCAATGGAGCCCCCTGCCCAATTGAGCACAGAGCTGTGGTCATCTCAGTGACATGTGAGCCCACTTAAGTAGCAACAGGTTTACCTGTGTCATTCTTCAGGTGTCTACCAAGGTCCAATGCAACAACTATTCCTGGCAATGGCCTTTGGGGAAAGGAATGAGTCTTGGCTCCTTTAGAGCTGGTCACAGCCCTATAGTCATGCTCTCTTCTACTGGCTGATAGTAGAAGGCTCTTTGCACATGTGCATGATGAGGCCACTTCACAGTCCCAGTGACTAGAGCAAGAGTCATATTAGTAGTGTGGTTGGCCCAGAAGCTAGCACAGCAGAAGGGAAAGGTTTAATAAACCAAAGTGCTTCCGAGAAGAATATGAGCTATTCAATCAGGGAAAAGATGTGGAACAAGAAAGGTCAAATTCACTACAGCTGGTGCAAGGAGAACTGAAGCTCTATGCTGCCAAATTGGGTTAGCCTTTGGGGGCTGCACACATTTCAATGAACTTAATAACAATTTCCAGAATATTCCTGCTGCTCCTTCTAAAGATTTGAATGAAAGATCATTTGCATTCTAGAGTTTCCCTTGGCCCTCAGGTTATGGGATAGGTATAGCTTTGTAAGCTAGGGGAAATGTGTCATCCTGACCGAACTTGTGAGCTCTCAGAGGCCCCACTTACTTCCTGCCTCTACCTAGCTCTCCTCTTATCTTGTTTCCTAACATCCAGTTGTCAGTTAGGAGTATGGACCACCAAGGAAGATATACAAGAGGGCTTTGTACAGAAGTCAGTGGGAAATGCAACTTCTTAATGTTGTGTATGTCATCTGAGCAGTGTGGGAGAGGGAAGCCAGCTCCCAGCCCCACCACTCATCTTCTGGCTGCCAGTGCCAGTGCACTAGTTTGCAAAAAGGCCTGGAGAGGGAGAAAAGACCTGGGATTCCTGCACAGCTGGCTGAAGGAAAGGCAGTGCCTTCTCTAACTCAGTGGTTCTCAGACTAGGGCAGGCCTCCGAACCAACTGGCGACCTGTTCAAAGCAGATCGCTGGACCCCACAATGCAGTTGCTGACTCAGTAGGTTCAGGGTGGGCCTGAGAATTTGTGTTTCTTATAAGCTCACGGCTGCTATTGCTGCTAATGAAGTCAAGACTATGAGAACCACTGTTCTGGTTTCTCCCAAGTTGGTGATGGTGCTTTCTCTTTCTTCCCTGGCCACCTCTCACACACCTGCTAATGCTCCATGACTTCTGTGCCCAATCAGCACGCCCCCCTGTGGAAGCCTTCTCTTATCTCTCATGATTCCTCTCTCCTTCAAATGCCTGACACCATGTTTAGCCTAGTGCTGGGCGCCATGCTGTGCCACTTGGGATGTGCACACCCCCGGACTCCTTTACCAGATTTAAAGCAGATCAAGAGTGTGTTTTGTCATCTCCACATGCCTTACGGTGTCGAGCATATGGTAGTGGCTCATTTAACAAACACTTGTTGGATGCCATGGTTCCTTAAAGGGGAGGAGGTGCCAGTGCTTATATTTTGTTCTATTTTGCCTCTCTTCTGTCTTCCTTCCCAGCCTCTGTACAGGCTCCTTAGCATGTGTGTCTTACATTCTAAGAAACCTAGTGTGATCGATTTCAACAGGCAAAAAAAAAAAAAAAATTTAAATCAAAGAAATGCTTATTATTTCTTAGTACTTAATGCACTTTATTTTTTTTTTTTTTTGCTGCTAAACAATTGGACAACTGATGTATACACTTACCTGTTAATGAACTTGTTTTCTTCTGCCAAATTAGTTGATGTAGGAACATAAACTGAATTCATATTTATGTCACAGATCCTCTGAAGAAAGGGTATTGTGTGCTGTGTGAACCCAAATCTTTGCCAGAATTTGCTGGGCTGGCTGGATGGATGCACAGACAGAAAGATGCTTGAACAGAAGGACACACAGTCAAATTGGCAGCTCTTGCTGGGAACTAGGCATCAGCTCCAGCTGCCGTGTCTGGGCCTGAGCTCCTCCTCACCAGCCAGCAAGCTTGCTACCACGTGGTATTTTAGAAGAGACTGTCACTTTCTCTTTAAACAGGAACAAGCATCCCTGAGGGAAAAAAGGAATATGTAAGTTTAGGAAGACTATAGTCTTTTTAAGATAGATTCACTTAACACAAATGTATGGAGGGGCTACTGTGTGCCAGCCCCTGCTCAGATGGCCCAGTTCACTTTTTAGGAATTCCATCTAGGAAGATCAGAAGGACACCAGCCAGCAGTTTATGTCCAGTTTGAGCAAGTGGAAGCACACATTAAGGACCCTCAGATGTTTACATCCTTGACCACTAGTAAGAATGTTCCTTCAATTTCTATGGAATTTAAACAGGGATAAGATACTTCAAAAATTATTGTAAGAATTGATTTAAAAATCAAAATTATTGTAAGAATTGATTTAAAAATTGATAAGATGGATATTCCCCTAGGCCATAATTATAGTCTGGGCCTTGGGGATGTCTTAGTTATTATTTCATAGTATAAAAAAGTAGGCTGTACTTATCTCATCTAGCCCACCACATAACTAAGGTGTTTGGGGTACAAAGAGCATTCTGTCTACCCCTATTTCTACACTTGAGAAGATGGGGGCTCAGAAATATAAAACTTACTCATTTTGATATTTGAACATGAGTATATTACAAATAACTGTCCATACCTAAATCTGTGTGCCTATTCACAGATGAATTTATGAGGTTATGTGTTTAATAATGTGTATAAAACTTTTTGGCGGCTGGGGTTGTGACTCAGAGATAGAGCGCTCACCTGGCATGTGTGAGGCACTGGGTTCTCTCCTCAGCACCACATTAAAATAAAATAAAGACGGCTGGAGCTATAGCTGAGTGGTAGAGCACCTGCCTTGCATGTGTGAGGCACTGGGTTCAATCCCTCAGCACCATATAAAAATAAATAAATAAAGATATTATGTCCATCTACAACTAAAAAAAATTTTTTAAATTAAAAAATAAAGATATTGTGTCCACCTATAACTAAAAAATACATATTAAAAAACTTTTTAAGGGTTTTTTTTTTAGAATGCCTTTATTTAATGTGTTTATTTTTTATGCAGTGCTAAGGATTGAACCCACTACCTCACACGTGCTAGGCAAGTGCTCTGCCACAGCCATAGTGGGTATAAAACTTAATGAAAAATAAGTTCAGAAACCTTTGTGAAAAGAGCTCTTGAGATTTAGGAGAAGGGTACTTTAGAAAACAAAAAGAAAAAC